TGTGTTATCATTTGTTATCTTACTTGGATGTAATGTTTTAAATGTAGTGATCCAGTCAATTTTTTGTGTTTTTTCATTATCCAAGATTTTTTGAAACCTTATTTTCAGTTTCCAACATTGTCTGTCTTATTGTATTTATTTTTTTTTAAGGCCTGCTTTATAGGGAGCTCTATGGATATTTCTTCCCATGTTGGAATAAATGATCTGTTTCCAATATTATTGTAATTATTTTTAATCACATAATTCTCTTTTTATTGTTTTTTTCTGTAACATGTGCTAGTTGGTCTGCCATTTCATTAAAATAGTTTCCTTCATGTGCTTTTACCCTATGTAACTTAATTTGTAGTTTCAATTCATCTATAATTTCTTTTATAGTCTGAAGTATAATAGTATTTTTGACTTTATTCCATATATAATTTGATTTTCCATTATTGACTTTGTTCATATTATCTATAGCACACTTGTTATCTGTGTATATATTTATCTGGGAACTTTTAGGATTACTGTTAGTGCTGCTAGTATTGCTATTAATTCTGCTCTAGTTGTTTATTATACTTAGTTGTTATTGTATTAGTTTTAGAATTAATCTATATACTGTATATTTAGCTCTATTTTTATTTTTAAAGTTATTATTTAGAGAATAGCATTAAAATTCATATTAACTATAATATAATTAAGAAAGAAAAAAGCTAGCTGAGGTCAAAAGGATCTCCAAGAACTCAAGTGGTGTCTTGATCATCTTGAACCACAGTTGGAGTCCTAATTAAGAGATCCAGGTGAGGTCTTGTATCCTAGACCTCCAGAATTGAGATGTATATAAAGACAAGAGAGATTACCTTGTCCAAGACAGTTTGAAAAGTTTATACAATTCCTATTTCTTTTATTTTAATAAAAATAACAATTACTTTATACTTTAGTCTTAAACTGTTGCTGAAATAACTAAAGGAATCCTGTATAATCCCAAACTCGCCCTTTATTCTTTTATTTTGATTAATTGATTTTTGATTGTTTTTAGTTTTTAGTTATTTTTTATTTTGAATTAATTTATCATTTTTGATTATTGATTTATTTATAGTTATTTTATTTAAATTTGATTTATTATTTTATTCCTTGATTAGTTATAGTTATTGATTTTTAGTTGGTTAAATATTTAGATAAATTGTTATTATTCTTGTTTAATTGAATTCTTTCTATAGTTTATATTTTATCCTTAATATTTATAATCATTCACATAATTTAACAAACACAAGTTCACTACCAGGCTAAACCACTGTAAATTAGTAAAGCTTGCTCTCCCAAGCAGTAATATCATTTAGAAGATCTCCTTAAACGAAAGAAAATGCATTAAATATTTTTATTTGCTTTAGATTTATCCAAAATTTAGATAGATCTAGTAGAGTATCTCCTATAGCGAGGTTATTATTGTTTATCATTCATATTACTTATTTATTATTAATTATTAATTATTAAAATCTAATGAAAATATTCTGATTTAGATAATAATTGTTCAGATGAAGATGTTAAATCTGAGCAAGAGAGCGAGCAATGGGTGATATTATTGATTGTCCAGCCTACTTTGGTAATATGTCCGAATTTATCAGATTCAATGAGTAATCATAGAGAAATTCTTATTTTATCAATATTTTTCTGCAGAGCAGAGCACTTCATGCCTATCTGTCTATTGTAAGGAGAACAGCTTGCTTATCATCTGCCATTTTTTCAGACAGATGTTATGAAGCTCTGGTAAGTAAAGATTTTTTACTTGATTGTTACTGTAAGTGGTATAGATCAAATAATCGGTCATGAATATAAATAGTCATTATCTTTTAAATATTTTGTTATTTCATTTTTTCATTAATTTATGAACTTAATTTTTGTTTCATATTGTAAACATTTGCATAGAACTTTTGCATTTGTCATTATCTTGTAAAGAAATTGATATATTAAATTTAATTAATGAATGAGAATTCAAGAAATAATGAGTTGAATATTAATTAATTTTGCTACGGAACCATCATAATACACATACAATTTTATTTTAGTTTTATATATTATTGTGTTACGCTAATCTGTAGTTGTACTGTCTGTTATCATCATCATTGAGAAATATTAAATAAATAAAATTTCTCTCTTAAAAAAATAATTAGAGAAAAGTTCCAACCTAATCAAAGAGAAACATTATGATTTACAGTATATAATTAAGGACTTGGTTTTTTGATTTAGTTTATAGTAGCATACTTATCAAAATAAACTATAGACTCTAAATTATTATTTAAAATATTATTAACAAATCAAAAGGTAAAATTAGTTAATATTATTGTGAAGCATTTTGGTAAATTCAAGACCTCCCACAAATAATAAATAATACAGCATAACGCTAGAAAATATTATTGTATTTAAGTATTAGAGAGATGGAAATCTGTCTAATCTCCATTAGAAATACAATTAATAATTATTATTTGTTAATTATAAAAATATTAATGAAATTACAATTCAGATTGAAAATGCTACACTCAAAATCCAGCAATTACTCCACTTAATTATATTAGTAACTTTTCAATTATCCAAAACCTAAGAATGAGTAAAATCTTGAAAAGGAACTCGAAGAACTACTTCTGCATTAAGTATAAATTTTAATCAAATCATATTTTTTTTTTTTTTTTTTTGTAATTAAAAATAATAATTTTATTTCTTTATTTCATTCAAATTAAACCAATACTGACTGACTGAGCAGCCGTTTCTGTTTCGGTTTATTTAAAATATAAACCAGAATATCCTGAAACCAAATCGAAATGTTTTCAATTTTATATGGACTGCAACTATGTAACGTATCTAATAGCCGTAATGTTGTAATAATTATAGTGTTCTGATGGTTGCAATAGTGTAATTAGTTTACTGTAATAATTTTTAAATTCGTCTTTTTTGGGTGTAAGAGTAGATCCTTAGATATTGGATGTTTGCTTTTATTACAAACTTTATATTTTATTTATGTCTACACTTTAATCATTATTCACTTTAGACGCTAGGTTATATATTTAAAACTATTTAAGTTTTAATTATGACTACAATTAAATTTTCTGGCAACAATTTCAATGGAAAATCCTTTAGATCAGTTTGTGCCACGTTATCATTATCAAAATCTTTTTCAGTGTCACTGGAACTTTGCATTTATTTAGAACACATCCAATATAAATTTTCCATTATTGATAATTTGACTTCTCTCAAAAAAAAAAAGAATTAAAATTACATATGATAAATTTAAAAGCAATTCGATTGCGTTTTTATTTTATATTTGAAAATTTGAAACAATAAATTTTTAGACTTCTCACTCAGAGAAAAACACGATAAACTGCCTGAGAATTCACTGCACATTCGGGCATCTTATGTTTCAATCATCCTACTTTAGTAAGGAATTAAAAGATACTGCCCCAAATATTTTTATACGTATAAGAGATTATTCTCGAGTAAGCCCTTCGATAATTTTTGTTTTTATAATTCAAATTATTATGTATTAATAAAGTAATTTTTTGTATAATAGGATAATTAATTTATACAGATATATCTACATATTTATACAGAAAGTGTGAATACAGGAACTATGTTAGAATTGAAGAGTTAGAAGAATTATCAATCATATTCAAGATATTCAAGCCTCTTGCTAAAATTTTAAAAAATTTTTTGTAATCTTTCAAGCTTACTTTGATCTACAGAATTCATTTCTTTTAATGAATAAAAATTAGAAATTTAGCGCCTTATCTTCTGGATCGGCTAATAAAATTTATTCAAAAGTTCATTACCACCATTGAGAATAACCTTTTTTTTAAAGCAAATATTCCGCTCAAATCTTCGAAATTATTTAATTTTATATAGTTATATTTACGGTGGAATTATTAACACAGAAAATGTGACTGTTGCTAATTAAAATTTGGAATCATGTAATTAATTGAATCCAAAAAATCAGAGGCAATATTAAATGAGACTATAATCAATGAAGAGCACACAGCAATGATTTTATCATGGATTAATAATCAACCGACAAGCTATTCTTCGAGAAATAATCCTTGTAAATTTCAATTAATTCTTTAAGGAAATTAAAGATGAATTTACACCAAAAAATTTTTAGAGCGTTTTTATGGACATGATAATATAACCGTGAATTATCGTGGATTCAATCATTTAGCTTGAGATAAAGTTTTATATTTTTATTTAAAGATGGTAATATCTAATTTAGCAGCATTAAAAATGTTTTATTCTTACAATAAAGATTCATATGATCCTTTTTTTTTGGAAATTATAAACCTAAGATAAGAAAATTTATTTGTTATTGTTCTTTTTAAAACAAAATAAGGATTATCTGAAAAATTTTCATGTCTGTTTATGAGATGTCACAATATGAAATTTCTGTTTAGGAGAAGTTGCATTATAAAATTCCTTTTTTATATTTGTTTTTATGCACCGTCAAAAATTCTGTATTAGAAGGTCCATTTAGGAGAAAGTGTAGTATTTAATTCCTTTTATTTTTTTTAATCTAGTTTTTTTAGTTTAGCTTATGAAAATCATTTTTCTTGATGACTAAAATGGAATTAAAAAGCCTCAGATTATACTTGCATGCAAAATTATTTTGGGGCCCTGAAATTACAATTTTGAGAAAAAAAGTTGAAATAGTTTTTTATAGAAGATGAAATTATTTTACTTAAAACCCAAAATTTTTTGATCACCCAGATTTATTCTTTGATTAAAGATACATATAACTGGATACTTTTTTTACTTCTATATATAGAATAGATTCTGCATAAATCTCAAAAAGTCAAAATACCTCAAAAATCCAAAATCAATTTTAGGAACATGTATAAATTAGACAAATATATTAAAGTTGCAAGGTTTATACTTGAAGAGATATAAGGAGTAAAGGATTTGATGTTACGGGTTTGTTCGAAAGAAGCTAAAGGTATGAGGATTTAAAGGGATATGAAATTTTTCACTAAGTTCACAATTATTCACAAAGAATATTATCAGTTTTACACAAAAACTTCAATAATTTACACAGAATTAATATAATTACCAAAATCTCGAAGCAAGGTTAATTATAAACAAAATAATATTGAGATCACGAAGTAAGATATTATTATCAAGAATATATTTCACTAAGAAATCAAAGGTTTAAATTATACTTTGTCACAAAAACTTTTATTGATAATTTATTACAAATATCGAGTTTGGAATATAATTAAGTTCTAACTATTTTAACTCTAAAAGCAAAAGCTACCTCTATTTATACAAAAATACCATTCTGTCATAAGACTATAATTACTAATCTCAAGAAAGTTCCAGAAATTTCCATTACATTCTGAAATATTCTATAAGCTATTTTTGCTAATGAGTTATTTGTACTAGAGGTATTTATCAGAGGTATTAACTAGAGGTATTAACCAAAGGTGTCAATCAGAGGTGTCAACCTTACATTATAATCAAAATGATCTACATCTGTTACTTGTAAATAATAGTACTAATATATAATGTTATACAAATAAAAAAATCTAACTAATAAAATATACTATTAAATATAATAATGTTAATAATTAATATATATAAGAATTAAAGAAATAAAGTTAACAGTATGTAATTTTAGATAAAAAGTAATTTAAGATAAAGTTTTAGATAAAATAAAAAGTAAAACTTTTTAAGATCTTTTTCAATAATACTAAATTCTTGCAACTAATATTTATTTATCAATCCCATTCTGTTTTTATCTTATAATTTCCAGGATCATATTATAAGCTATTATTTTTTTATCATATCTATTTCACTCTCGGTGCTTTGATATTATGATTTTTGATTTAATCACATTATTTTTTTTTACAACACTCATGTGATTACCAAAATTTCATAATATAAAAATTAGCGAGATCACATATATCATATTTTTGTTATTTTCATTTCACATTTATTTAATCTGAAGTCAAATCATTATTGGACAAAAGTGAAATTTTAGAAAGAAATACTTTCTTGCACTTAATAAATATTAATAATAATAATAATAACAGCTATATTATCAAAAACATTAGTAATAAAGCTAATAATTATAACAATATACATATCAGAAAATTTTATTAGATGAAAAATTTAAGTTTTTTGTATGTTTTTTTCATTTTTAGACTTTGCTCGTGATTTGCAAGGCACAAAGTAATTTTCTACTAAGATGTTTCTAATATAGATAGAACAACCTTTTTCTTAACTACAAAATAGTATGTGTTTCATTCCTGTAGTTTCGATATTCGTGGGGTACAGTTTGAAAAATCATGCAAATTGTACAATCTCTGCAAATATCGATGCTATAGGAATGAAACATGTATTATTTTGTAGCTAAGAACAAAGCTGTTCTATCTATCTTAGAAACACCTTAGTAGAAAATCACTTTGTGCATCAAAAATCGTGAGCAAAATCAAAAAAAAAGGAAATAAACACACAAAAAACTTGCACAAATTTAAATTTTCGCCTAATGAAATTTCCTGATGCAATTTTAATAAAATAAAAGGCAGGAGAGCCTTCACCCTTAACTCCAACAAAAACAGCAATAACTATAACTCTACAATAGACTATAATAATATTAATATGCAAAACTCAAGTAACATTAATAATAAAGAAGGTAGGTAAGCCTTCTTAAATTTTGTTTTAACAACAACAACAATAACAACCACAACAACAGCAACAATAATAATGCCATATCAATAATAATTCAATTATTATTATACCTATTATTATTGATAAGATAATTTTTAGTTGGTAGTTATAGGTTTATACTTTAAAGACACAACAAATTAATAAAAAGATCATTAAATTCGGTCACATTAAAAAGTTACCCATATTTTCTGTTTCTTAAGATATATTTTCTTCTGTCGCTCTTTCTTTGCATTATAATAATAATTTTGCTATTTTTTCTCAATTGAATTTTTTGACATTTTATTAATAGTATATTTATATTATAATTTTATTTTCAACGTAAATAATAGCATTGATTTTGCCCTTTAGAAGATATACTTGTTTTTTTTAATAAATAATTAAAACTTTTGTAATGCTGATTTATTGGCAAATCGGGTTTGAAAAGGCATACAAGCTACAATGTGTCAATATCATTAAAAATAAAAGAAATAAAAGAAATCAAAGAGTATATATAAAGTTTTTATACACGATCAAATTAAATTTTCGTAACTGAATATCATATCATTTTTTTATATTATACTAATAATTCTTTATATTCTTTTATAAATCTTCTTTATAATTTTTTTTATTTGGTATTTATAAAACTTTTATTGAGGAAAAATTATGAATCGAAAATTATGAATCAAAAAATGATAATACAGTCTTCAGTTTTCATAATATAAGATAAGAAAGGAAATACAAATATATGGGTATTGTTAAATCTCATTGTCACTATTAGGCATAATTCCGAGACTTTAACTTTGCCCACGTAATTGAACATTTTATTACTATAATTTATTTATTTATTTAAAATTCATTTCTTTTACCAATTATAACAGATATGATTTTTTTTATATCTTTCAGAATAATACCCTTTTTTGGAATATCACGATATTCAAAAAGCCTATGCTACTTTTTTTAAAAAAAAAAGACGCGACGCATCTAAGATTCATATTCACTTTGAGAAAAATACCAAAGCCTTACTATTTCAAAAGTGGCATTGAAAGTATATTAATAAAAGAAGAAAAATGTTGCAAAAGCTGCTTATACTGTTTTTAAGAACAATCATCATTTTTTATTAATCATATAAATGAAATTTATTTATTTTATTACAAGTATCTTTTAAAAGAAGTTGAGTATTTCATTTATTTAATTAATTCGATTATTATATTTTCAATATACTCAACTCTCTTTATGCATAGTTATTATTTCAAATTTGTATACTATCCAATTAATTTCTTTTGATATAATAATTTACGAAAAGTTTATTATCTCGGAAGTTACCAAATCCAAATCATTTCTTTATAGCGACTTGACATTATAGCTATGGAAAAATAATTCCAAACGAATTATTATTTATTCAAATTTGAAAATAAAGATTTATTTTTATCAATCATTTCCTTTTTTTAAAATCAAAAAAAGTCCAAACTATTATATTATTTGTTTTAATTACAATAAATTATCCAAAAAAGAAATGGAAAGGACAAATTGATCATACCGCAGCGACTTGGTACTATAGACTTTTTATTTCTAGTCAGCTATTAAAAGATTGCTTTTTTGAGCATTTTTAATAATTTAAAAAAGTGGTTATCCCACCTGCATTTAACCTATAATTTAAGGATTAATTGATAGGAAATTGAAGCTCTTTTCTTATTTGGTCCAATCCTTAATAATTAAAAATAATTAATAGAGTTTATATAAGAATTTAATAAAGAATTTAGTTATAAAAACTTAAAAAAATTGGATGAGCTGTCAAAAAATATTCAGATATTAAAGATGGAAATTAAATATATTTTGTACGAAATAACAAAGATATCTTTAGTTGCTTTAATAACCTATATCTCATATTATTATTACAAATATTTTACACGCGAGAATCCACTTCCTGGTCCTTTCCCATTACCATTTATTGGTAGCATTCACCAAGCTTTGAGAAATTTTACCATAGATGCGAACAAATTACTCAAATATGGTGATATCAGTGAAGTTTATATTGGATCTCAACGTTTTATTTTGTGTAATAATGATGAACTTATTCAACCAATGATGAAATCTGTCATTAATGGTCCATTTCATAATAGAGTAAAAGATGATCATGAAGGACTTATAGATGGAGGTTTATATAATGTTGGTCTAGTGCTTAATAATAATTATAATGATTGGCATTACTATCGTAAATTCTTTAACAAAGTAATGTTGTCCCCTGCATTTATTAAACAATCCGTAACAGCAGTACAAAATAGTTTTTTTGAAATGGAAAAATATTGGGAGAAACTTGGTGAAGAAACGGTATTGGATTTTAGTCATTGGTCAAGACGATATTTCTTTGATACTATTTTTGTTACTACCACCAATAAACCTGCTTATGCATTAGCACATTATTATAATGAAGTAACTCAAAATGAAAAATTATCTTTACCAGAAAGTATTCTTAAAGAAAGTAATCAGTTTCTAGATGCACTATGTACATTCGGCCATAGTGTGACGTATTTCTATTATGTTCCTAGAATTATTCGAAATTTTCCTGGAATTAATAGATACACTAAATACTTTAAGGATAACAATAATTGGTTAGAGAATAATATCCATGAAATTATTAAATCAAGACGAGAAGAGATTAAAAAAACTCCAATTGATCAAAATTTGAAATCAGACATGATGACGATGTTTTTAACGGTGAACACTGAGAGAGATGTTACCGAAAGGATCGCTGATGATCTTCATGATAAACCAATATCTGATGACGAGATCATACCTAATTTTATAGAAGTTATGGCTGGCGGTACTAATATGGTAGGTAAATTATTTAACCTTAACTTCTTTATGTGATGATTTTCCTCTTCCGGAAGAATAGTAATAATTCTTTTGTACAGAGTGCAAACTCCATATGCTTTATAGTTTATTCCTTGGAAAATTATCCGAAAGTAAAACAACGAATGATAGAAGAAATTGAACGTGTTCTTGGCAAAGACCCAAATTCTTTACTTACATTTGAAGATATATCAAAACTTGAATATGTCGAAGCTATCATAAAAGAAGGTAATTTATATGTTGAATTCAATTATTATGTTTATGCTTAATATTGTTGATAATAATATCTCATTTAATTTTTAATACCAAATATTTTATAATTTTTATAATTTTTATAATTTCTATAATTGCAGTTGCAAGAGTTCATCCTATAACACCGAAAAATGCGAAAAGAAACTCTACGCCAGAAATTGTAGGAGGTTATAAATGGTCTAAGGATACTATATTTCTAATAAATATCGATAGAATTCATAACCACGAATTATATTGGAAAGATCCTGAAGTATTTAATCCAGAAAGATTCATGGATAAAAATAATCCTGATAGTAAAAGTCGATTTTATATGTTTGGTGGAGGTTTGAGAAAATGTAAATATAAGTAATTGTAATTTTCTTTTTTAATTGTAAAAAAAGAATACATATAACTACATATAAATTAATTATCTCATTTGCAGGTCCGGGAAGAAATTTGGCAATGATGGAAATGAAAGCTACTCTTGCAATGTTGTACCGAAAATATGATATTCAACTGATGGGGCCATTGAAAGAAAGTGTCAAGCCGATTAGGACATGTGATGAATTAAAAGTTAAATTGAAAAAAAGAAAAAACTTGTAATTTTGTGATTCAGTGAATTTGTTATATTCATTTTTCTAAAAAAAATTGTTTAGTTGGTAGTCAATTTGAATATGTATAGTTACATTTTGTTCATCACGAAAAAAATGCTGTTTATGTAGATTACAAGATATTAAATTTTATTTTTTAACTTTTAAATTAATATTCTTATTTGCTTAAATATAAATTAATTGCATATACTAATAAATAACTAAAGCCAATTTAAATAAAATCTCCTCGTTATTATTATTACTTTTAAACAAATAACAAAAATCTGAACTAATTTATCGAACAAAAAATTATATAAACTTTATTTATTTAAATTACGTTACCTTTTAAATGAATGAAGAACTTTTCTTTTAACTTCTAGAACCCAAAAATAATATTTTTATTATTGGATCATCCGTAATGCTAAAAATTTCTACGGATTTCACATGAGGAGTACCAAAATCTGATCTGACAGTCAAATAACAATTTGGTTTTTCGTCATACTATACATAGAGCATCTTTTGATATTTTAACGAAATATATATTCTATCCCATATGCAAGCATTTTTGACAGCAATTTGTGTTCACCAAATTGGAATATACATCAAAGTTCTTTATATGTTTATTCTATTAAAAATCATTTATCAACAAGACATGGGCTTTTCAAATAATTTTTTAAAAAATTGTACACTATAAATAAACGTCATTATGCATTTTAACAACGAATATCAGTCAGTAACAGGTTGATGAATCTTTTAACCAAAATTTTGCTGATTGTTGACAAATTACATTTCTCAAGCAGTATCAGGAGAACAAAAATTGACCAAGTATTCCCTAAGACTTTTACCTTTAACATTAGGTATGACTTTGTTCTCACTGAAAGCTGGTATGAAGGACTTCTCTATCTACATTTTACATTTGAAAAATTTGAATCTACAGTATATGCACGATTATTTACCTTGAATTTTTGTTCATGTTACCACACCTCTACATGTTACTGATGTTAAAAAATCACATGAACAAGTTGTCATTGTAGAATCATAAGAACAAGTTGGCAATTCTGTTACTGCTGAAGAATCACATAAACAAGTAGTGGAGGTTGAAAGTATTGATAATGATAATGTTTATAATAAATCCAAAAATAAATTAATTATTTGTGTTGATTTTTCTGAATCAGGTAAAAACATTTTTTTGAAAAAAACTTTTAAGAAATTAATTATTAAGTTATTTCATCATCAAACTATTAGAAAAAAAAAGTTTAGGTTCCTTTTATAAAAAAAATTACATATAAACTTTGTATTTGCAATAATTAATATTCTTTTTTCTTATCATTAGAATTAATCAGAAGATCATTGATTATGTGAAGATTTGGTTTAAAAAAGAAGTAAATTTTAATTATTACAATTATCAATATCATAAATTCATACTTGTTATTCAATGGATATTCTGTGAATATAAAGTATTCACAGGATACATATCCATTGAATAACTAGTTTATCCTTTGGCACTGGTTATAATAGGGAATATCAGACACCTATCATATGCCTATCGGGTTCTCGATAAGTATACAATAGGTGTCTGATATTAACAATTATGTAATATATCAGGCATCCAATTGATGAGGTCAAAATACAGAAGTTTGGATACTTATCGAATCCATATTGGTTTCATATCAGGTATTAATATTTTGACATTTTATTCAAATTCATTATTCGTATATTGGACATTCAATTTTATTTATTTTTTTTATCAGGTACATATCTTTTATAAATCATCCATAGTATATTTCTATATATTGAGTATGGTATATCTCTATATATCATATAGTTTTTTCTCTCTATTGGGTATCTATCGATATCTTTTATTTATATATATATATTTTCATATTTTTTTATTTGCAAATAATCATAATCTTGTTTTATTATAAAAAAAGATAATAAAATGAAATACATTTATTATGAAAAATATAAAATGAAATATATTATATATGTTATATAAAATAATCTATCTAATTATTTTTTTGATTTTTTTTTGATT